GCCCTCCAGGCGCATCCCCACGGGGGCGCAGGGCGCGCGGAGGATCCCGAGTCTCCGCCATCCCCATCGCCTCTCCCGTGCCGCCAAGGCCAGGCCCTGTCAGAGCTTCCTCCTCCTCCTCCCGAGAAGCGGCTCCTTGCCTGCAAGGGCTCCGGCCTGGCGGTGCCTCCCCGCGGCTCAGCTCTTGTGGGGCAAGCCCAGGCTGATGCTGCCTCGGTGGAGGATGGAAGGTGACCAGATAGCGAGTGTGAAAAGTCAGGACACTTGTTTGGGAGGGGGAGGGGGATAGTTGCTTGACTAAGACAAAGCCCTTAATATCGGATCAGTCCTGATAACTGCAGCGTGTCTGGTTACCCTAGAGGGGATGGGCCCGCTCCCTCATTCCCCCATCTGAACACAGGTTAGCTGGTGACAGCTTGAGCTCCCTCCTGTCACCTACCACCCTGAGCTCCTCTTCTTTGTGTTTTGCAGGTTGGCCAGGGTAACCGTGCTCCATGATTGTCTGGGTTGCAAGACATTCGAGGTGCCTCCTTCTGCTGCTGTCCGGGATGTAAAGATATTAATTAATTCAGAAACAGGGTTTCCTGTTGCTGAGCAGCAGTTGTGGCACCTTGGGAGAGAGGTGAGTGTTTGTCCCTGCAGTGTGACCAGCTGCCCCTTTATAGGTTGCCTGGGAAGTAGCCTTGCTTTCCTTGATGCAGACAATGCAAAATTGAAACATTTAAAGCAATAAGCACAAATATGTGCATGCATGAAGTAGTCTATTGCAAGGAAAGCATGGAGTTAGCTGCTTGACTATTATTTATATTAGAGTAGCATGCTTGCTGGGTGCTGTTCAAACATAAGGAATGCTATGATCTGTGCTTTGAAGAGTTTCGAGTGTAAAATGTGCCAATCCTGCAAACACGCATATGTGAGTAGTCTTATTGATTTCATTGAATCTGCTAATGTATGTATGTGAACTTAAGCACACGTGTTGTTTTTGCAGGATAAATACCTTTGACTATTTGTGTAAGACCATCACCACACTTACTCTTTCAATAATGCCAATGTGTTTGATTTTATAATGCTCAGTCATTATGTTTTTAATGACATTTACATACTGTATTTTAATAGTCTTTTCAGTACTCCAAGTGTCCTGGTTGAGATGTATTTCATATGTAAAATTTGTATAATTATTTCTCAGTGGAAAAAAAGTAATCATTTACTATTCAGATTTGAAGCGAGCTACAAATCTACACAGTCTTTTATTTTCTTGCATGGTTACAGGTTTACTTGATTTTACTTTCCTCAATAATCAATTTCCATTTACTTTCCCTAATCATCAACTTCCACAGGAAAGAAGTGTTAGCATCTCATCCTCTGAAATGAAACAGGAAGCCAAGAGTATAAGCAACCCTTTTTTGATTGGCATTACTATAGTGAATTGTATCTTTTGGTTGGAAACACTTAGTCACTAAAGAGTCTCAAATAGTCTTATATTTTTGGTTTTGTATCTAAGAATATAAATTGAGATTTTCTTCCTCTAATGGCATTTATAAAAGTTCTTTTCAACCTTTTCAACTCTAGTTGATTAGGGCCAGATTCTCCTACTCTTACATACACTGAGAAGGTACAATGGTCTGTTTTTAAAACTTTTCCCCACTTTAAAAATAGAGAGGAGTGTTATTTATTTATAAATGAGAGATCAAGTCAGTTAAAATAATCTTGAATGTCATTTGTCATGGTGACAGGACTAGTTGCATCTCTGAGTGCATCCCCTCTTTCTGGCCTCTCTCAGTGCATCCCCTCTTGGGTTTCATTTGTGCGTCTGTCTCCTTGTAGTACAAACATACAGTAGGGATGTAAAAGAGTAGTTGAATAGTCAACAACCCGATAAGTCTAGACTTATCAGATAGTCAAGTCAACTACTCGCATTGCCCACCCTTTCTGCCTCTATATCAGAGGCAGCAAGTGTGGGGGAAGTAGGAGTTGGTGCTGGGGGGAGCCAGTTTAAAAGCTGTCCCACACTGTGCCTCTGCTTTTTAAATGTAGTAAGAGCCCCCTGACTCTTACTGTATTTAAAAAGCAGAGCCGCCACAGGAGTAGCAAGCGCCCTCCACTTATCAAATAATCGAGTCTATTAGATTAAATGATTAATCGAAATTTAGCATTCCTATCATGCAATTCTTCCACCATTAGACAGGAACCCAAATTGTGTATCATCTGTATTCCCACAATAGTTCTGTCTGGGTTTGAGTACCTCTTCTTCTCTTCAGGAACTTATGACCAACAGTAAATACAGTGGCTCCAAACAGCATTTTTAAAACAAAGTATTGTTTAAGGTAGGGATGTAAGAGATTAACTGGTTAACCAATAAGCTGATACGTATTGGGTCCAGTTATCAGTTAAACTCTCACAAGGCTGGCAGCCCATGGCACTGATAGTGCTGTGTGCCCATGGTGTCAGCAGCTTACAGGGTCAGTGCCGCCAGCTGCCCATAGTGCTGGCAGCCTGCGGAGCCGGAGCCGGCAGCCCACGGGGCTGGCAGCCACCAGGAGACCCATGGTGCCAGCAACCCGTGAGGCTGGCAACCCATGAGGCCAGCAACCCATATGGCTGGTGGTATTGGCAGCTCACAGGTCCAGGAACCCGCAGGGCTGGCAGCCTGCCGAGGCCATTTAATCATGTAATCTTTGGAATTGTAATAGGTTATAGGTCAGCATTCTTTATCCCTTTTTACATCCCTAGTTTAAACCTTACAGTAGGAATAAAGCATTACAGAAGAAAATAGATTATTAAAACAATTAAAGGTCTACAGATGTCTATCTTACTTACAGTCCTAGGTCTCTCACCACAAACTCTCAACCTTATCTACCCCCTTAAGGAAATGTGTTGTGTGGGAGGAGGTGAGGGTCTAGAAGAGGCAGTGGGGCAGGGGGAAGGCTGCTGGCTTCCAGCCCATATGAGCTTGCAGGCTGGGAGTCAGCAGCCTGGCATTGCAGGGGGAAGCGGCAGTGGGGAAACTGGGGGGCAGGGCAGCCGGCTCCTAGCCCGTGAAGGCTTGCAGGCTGACAGTTGACAGCCCTTCCACTCCCTCATTGCTGCTTCCGGCCCCATGTGAGGCTGCCGATTCCCAGCTCGCATGGCCTGGGAACTGGGAGCCCAGCACAGGGTTGGAAGAAGCTGTATTGAAGCAGCCCCTGCCCATGGTGCGGGGGTCATTCCAGCCCGGCCATGGCAGGCGGGGGGCTGGAACGGCCCCCCACTCTCCCTATTTAATCAGTTATCCAGTTAAACTTAACATGCTCAGTCCCTGTCTCTGGCACCTGGGCTTGTCCCAAGGTCTGTCTTGACATAGACTCACCTCTTTCTCCCAAACATGTTTACAATTCAGTCTACCCTGTTTCTGGCAGCTGGGCCTGAGGGAAGGAGCGCTAGGCTCTCCTTTAGGAAGCTGTTGTGACATAAAGAGCAGCAACATAGAGTGACTGGCTTGAGCCACATGAGAAGTGGCTTTGTCCACTGCCCAGGCCCAGCTGCTAGAGAGAGTGGCTGAATGTGACAGGGATGGGGGTGTGGCATAGCGGGAGAAGGAGAAAGTCTTACCCTACCCCCCACAGATATCATGGATTGGGGAAAGTGCAGCAGTTCCTGGCTGGGTGCAGGGCAGGGAGAGGGTCACTGAGCAGAGGAGACACTTGGGACAATCACATGCCCTCCCTTTTAGATTGTGCCCTCCCAGCAATTCTTGGCCAATGAGAGCTGTAGAGTTGTCTCTTGGGGGTGGAGACAGCTTGTGGAGACCCCCTGTCCTTCTCCTCCCTCCGCACCTAGGTGCCACAGGAAGGGACATGCTGACTGCTTCTTGGCGAGTTGTATGGCGACATTATGCCATTGGATTTTTAGAGGATGATCTGATTTGGCTTCAGAAGCCTCTGGGAAATCAAGCCTGACTCTAGTTCGAAGTAAGGTGGCTAATGTAGTCATTCGAACTTGCAAATAAAGCCCGGGATTAAAATATCTGGGCTTTATTTGCATGTTAACAGGCGCCGCCATTTTTAAATGCCCAGTAGTTCAGACTCCCTGCCCACGGCTACACGCGGCACGGGCTAGGTAGTTCGAACTAAAGCCCCTAATTCGGACTACCTAGCCCGTGTATGCAACCACACTTAAGTTGCAGCCCTCAGCATGTGCTCTGTGTATCATTGTGGCTTCTGGGGCTTCCCAAGTTGAGTAGCCCTGTTTTAGAGGGAACACTAATCATGACTATATCTGTGGAATGATGGGGTAGAGCTGTGGTCCCCAATGCAGTACTTGCGAGCACCATGGTGCCCACTGGGTCATTTATGTGCACCCAAGGAATGACCTGGGCTGGTCCTGCCCCCAGGCGCGTGGCACATGCGCGGTGCCGGGCACGCGCCACATGCGCGGTGCTGGCCCCGGGCGTGTGGCGCACAAGTGGCCCCTACCCCGGGTGCGCACGGCACATGCGCGGTGCCAACCCTGGGCACGTGGCGCACGGGCATCCCTGGCCCTGGGTGCACAGTGCATGCGTGGCCCTGCTCCCGGGTTCCCAGCAGCCCCAAAAAGTTGGGGACCACTGGGGTAGACCATCAGGCAAAAAGCATCATATAAGATTTATATTCTTTGCATTTTTAGAGTTAAACCTGTTGTACATTACTAATATAAATGGAAAGAATCAAAACAGGAAATATTTGTGGGGCTAGGTGAAAAAAAAAGCATTTGCAGTCTAATTCTGCCCCTACATAAACAGGCATACCTCTCATTGGTGTCAAGTGAAATTGCATTCATGTAACTGAGAGCTAAATTTTGCCCTCTACGTAAGTGAAAAAAATTCACTCTTTTGTAATGCATAATTGAATATATCAGAATGATGTATTTAAAGATGTATTGAAGCTGTGTATTGACACATTTAAACTTGATCTCTAAATTTTAATTTCTAATAATTACTTAATATTAATTATCAACATGACTGAAGAAAAGCCAATGCAAAGTAGCGATATTGGAGAATGTACATCAAAATCTTCCATTTTTTTTCTGTTTCAGTTGTCGGATTATACTAAATTTGGGGACTGTCTGAATTCTGAAAATCATATTTTCTTAAACCTTCGGTCAAAAGGTCTGAAAGGAGGAGGTAAGATAAACAATTATTTACTTGTATGTTGGGACATTGTGAAATGTTTTGATTAATTCTCTGGTCCAGTTCTGAGTATTGCTTTTCTTAAAATTAGTAGTGGTGCTTTCTCTTTACTTGCACGTCACAGAAGTATGCTCTTCCTCTTTCTCACCATTGGGATTATACCTAAGGAGAAACTATAATTTGGTAGAGCAGCCCATTTTGAATAAAGGAGAGGGGAAATAAAATCAGTCCTTTTTCTTTTGTGTTTCAGTATTTGTAAACATATTTGTTGAAATTATATGGCCACTGCTTTGCAGGATCAGTATAATCCCATTTGCTCAAGAGTTAAGAGCTGCATTGTTTCCAGGAAAATGACATGAAGACTTGCAGATTAAAAAATAATTATTCTAATTATTCTAAAATAATTGTCTAACGGGATAACGTACAGTACATATAGCATAGCACAATATACATCTGGAATGTGAAGTATAAAATGTAACTGATGGTTAGTGGTAGAAAGCCTGGTAATCCTTTTGTTTTTCTCTTTTTTGATTTTTTGTTTTAGTTACAACTTCCTTTGTCAGAATTTCAGGTATAACAAAATCAGTGTCTCGAGTTCATTTGATGTACTAAATTATTTGGTATTACTTCAGTATAATATTGACTTCATTGCTAAGTTCCTGTTGCTAATAATACTGTTTTAAAGTATCTTAGTTATGATGTAGGAATGCATAGAGATGAAATGTTTTTATTCCACGACAAAATACAATTGCTCTTAATATTAAAGAAAACAGAAATACGTTATCCAAACTAATTTTTTTTAAAACAGAAGAAAACTGATTTTTTTTATCCACACATTTCAATCAGTGTTATATATACAGGCAGTCCCCGACTTACGCGGATCCGACTTATGTTGGATCCGCACTTACGAACGGGGATTTTCTCGGTCTCCCTGGTCTGCTGTGGGGGTCCAGCAAAGCTGCTGGACCCCCCCAGCAGACCAGGGGGACAGGAGCAAAGCCGCCCAGGCGGCGGGGGTCCCGCTGCCTGGGCGGCTTTGCTCCCGGGCAAACGAGCAAAGCCACCCAGGCAGCGGG